TGGGGGGGGGGGGACCCACGGTCCCCCCCCCCCCCCCCAGCAGACCAGGGACACGGGGAGCAAAGCGGCAGCGGCGACGGGGTGCCGCGCCTCTGAGGCTTTGCTCTAGCAAAGCCTCAGAGGCGCGGGACTCCGCCCCCGCTGCGGCTTTGCTCCCGGTGTCCCTGGTCTGCTGGAGACGGTCCCCAGCAGACCAGGGGCACCCGCAGCATCTTTTCTCGCCCCGGAGGTCGAGGTGGCGGGACCGCTGCGCTCTGGGCGGTCCCGCTGCCTGCGAGCTCCAGGGCGTGAAAGCCCCGTTCGTAAGTGCAGATCCGGTCGGATCCGCGTAACTCGGGGACTGCCTGTAAATCTAATTTGGTTACTGTGCCCCAATTTTTAAATGTACACGTTGCTGGTATAGTACCTAAATTATGACGCTACATTTAGATTTAGATTTCATCAGAATGAAAGGTAGCTTCCCTTCAGTTTTTTTTTAAATGATAAAACACAAACAGTGCCAAAGGACTCTGTTCAATAGCTGCTCCGAGTTTAATAAAAACTAGTTTAGACTTGCAGTGATGACGACTCCAAACAATGTTTTAATAATCTCTCCCTAGGCATAATATAAAGTCTCAGTCTATCCAAAGTTATAGTGAATACTTTCTTTTAAAGGTGTAAGTTTAAAGCAACATATAACTTTATAAATATTTTAATCACTTCTGATACAAATTACTGTGAAAGGATAATAGGAGGATACAGCAATACCAAAATAATCAGAACTGATGAATGAGAACAAAATATCAGTCTTAAAGAAAAGACAGACATCACATTACCACAAGAAAACATTAAGAAGAGAGGATTAAAATCAGTGGCATGCAAAGAAATTTTCAAATGCTTGTCAGAAGAAAAGAGATGTTTAAAAGGATCAGCTGAAAGATGAACGTATCATTGTGAGATTTTTGAGAATATGAATGTTTTGTATGAACAATGCTCTCTGCCCTTGCTATGAAGGAAGAAGAGATGCAAATCTCTTGCAAGGCCCTCTTAGAAATATTCAATCATTTACCTCATCAATCCAACAAATAGCATTGTCATGATGAAATTGGGTGGATAAGAGATACGTGATTTGTGCTGGTATAAACAGCATGGAACAAACATTTTTATACAGCCAATGAAAGTAGTTGTAAGCATCTGAACAGCACCTAAGGAAAGATGAGAAACCAAGAGAGGTCAGAAGATTAATATGGCATTAAGCACCAAACTATCCTAGAAACCAAATTAGATTAAATTAATTTGAGACATCCTTGGTAGGCATCAACAAATATGGATGCTTATATCTTAAGGTTTATAAAATTCTAGTAAAA